CTCGAGTTGGCGAGGATGCCGCGGGGACGTAGCGGGGCGGGGCGGCGCGGGACGGGGCGGGGCGGGGGGCGATGAGTCACTCCGTTCGGCTGCATCCGCGCGCAGCGAGTACGGAGGGAATGATTCGAATCCACCGCACGGCAGGACTATGCGTGCCTATCCGAGCGAGCGGGGCGAGTGGGCCGGACAGCCGCCGGTACCCTCGCGACACCGACACCGGTGTGAACCTTCTTAACGTTGGCAACTCGGTAAATTATAGTGAAAAGTGTCATGAATACACACGCGAAGTAAGTAGTCCGACAACCGCGTCACGCGGACGCAGTTGAAGGTAAAAGTCTGGACAAGTCACATTAGTATAAGCACAGCAACAGCATGTGGGCGGGCGCGAGCACACTGAATATTGGGGCAAAGGGGAAAACCTTGAGGAAACTCCCGTAATTTTAAAGCTCCTCAGATCTATAGTCTCCTCAAAACATGCGGAAATTTCCTTCATGTTTTGAAAAAACTCCCTCAAAATCTAAGGAGTTTTTATCAAATTTTCGAAAGTTATTAGCAAAGTTTTCCCCTTTTCTACAAAAGGTCAGACATTGATTTTACTGTGAGCCTTTGCCGGCGCTCCGTTGAAAGGCGTCGCCGTAGACAGTGGCGGTAGGCAACCCGCTCGCGGGCTTCCATCCGGTACAGCCTACTGCAGCGCTGCTGCGGAAGTCACTAGAGACGGACACAGCTGCCAGGTACTGTATAGTACACTGAGCGCCAGACCGTAGCGCTCCTTACTCGGAAGGCACCAAGGAGTGACGCTGTGGTTATTAGAACGTTTGTGGCGTATGCTATCTCGTATCCATAATTTATAACATTAACACATCGAATAAGGGTCATTTATGGTGCCCATGATTTGACTTTGGAGCGTGACCTCATGGTTGTTATGCCGCACTCAGTGTGTTTAGTTGTAAGATTGTACGTCCTCTGTGAAAATTATCCTTCAGGGTAGTACTGCTCTGCAGAATTATCTTTGAAATCGTTGATTCTATTTTTTGATTTTGAATAATGGCATACGATGTTTGTAAATTAACGGCATAGGTCATTTTTGCTAGTCGAAGGAAACAAGTCGATGTGTCATAAAATCAAATACGTTTTCATTTGTGATTTAACAAGTTTTTTTAGTGGAAGAATTTCCCGTACGAATGTTTTCCTCAGCGTCCTGCGAGCAACAAACACGATAGAACAAACAACACGCAAATTCGAAATAATATTAATTAGACGCGGAGCCGTCCTCGTTTGCGTGCGGTCCGCAGAGGGGAAGCCCCGCACAACTCCCCGGGGACCGGCGCGGAGCTCGGCGCGGCGTAGACCAGATGCCGCTTGATCGAGGACAGATTTGTGGTTTACAAGGTTCGCACTGCCTCGCCCTTCGCGCCGTAATGGAGCCGTCACGATGCTGCACGCCTCGCGGGGTGGGGC